TGTGACTTCGCGGGCAGTAACATCGATAAAGGGAATCATCGGTTAGACTCGAAGCACGAAACAACTCTTGGAGAGACCTAGGCGCTCTCTTGCTCGATCGATAGTTTATCGTTCGAGGCATATTTTCTATCCGTTACGCCGACACGTTGCAATGGTTACACCGTGGGGCGACGATGTATTCGTATTGCAGCCACCGTTAAGGTCGGTTACCTTTATTGCTTCCTACCTGGCCAACGAGAATTATTTTATATGGTAATTATTTAGTTAACGTTCACGGCGGAACGTCTACGTACGACTCTCAGCCGGACGTTTATGCGTCAGCTGATTTCCTGGCCCGGTGTTATTATTAATACGAGGGACGTTCATCGACGCTCTAGTCGCGGGCTAGCGGCTCGGTCGATTTCTTCATAAATTTCACGGATGCAAATGCGGCAAGCGTTTACGGCAGCGTACCTGGTTCTGAGCCTAGGTTATTTACGCCTGTCGCGAGGTTCGTGCATTTCGTTACAATGTTGAACGGTGCTCACCCCGCTCGTTGCGTCACACCGACCGCTTTGCAAACTTGCCTGAATTCATCCCGCGGCGTCTAAACGGTTCGTAATGCGATCGTTTGCTTTTATCGCTTCCTGCTTTTATTGCAATTTACAGATTCCGCGCCGCGGTCTGGCGTGTACACGCTACTTGCGGGATATCGAGAATGACGATACTCCCATTGTGGGGAAGCGGCAATCCCCCGTTTTCTATGGAGTTTCGTTTAATCGTTTGCTTTAATGCTCGATATAGTTTGGTCGTAGATAACGTGTGTCGGCTCTGTTGATACTTTCTGCGTGAAAACTTGCTGTCTGAAGGGGGCGAGGATTTGATTTACGGTAGGGAAAATTTTTGGGAGCGAGAATTAACCCTTTAACGCCCGTTGTCCTCTTTTGGTGACAATTTTATTTCAATTTTTTCTGACACATGTAAACTACAGTGCAAGGTGTAAAGTGTAAGGGAAGTAATTTATAATATTGCTCTGTTTATTGGTAGTCCTAAATTCACTTTTTAAACGTAAAAAAAAAATAATTTAAACGTTAAAGGGTTAAATGCAGAATATTTCTGGAAATTTTAATCTGTGGTAATTGTAAATAATGCAATGCAAGGCATAAATCACACGAGAAGTAATTCACAATAGTAACCCCAAGTTCGTTTCATCGAACATCAAAAAAATAGTTTCAACGTTAAAGGGTTAAAAGAGCAGAATATTTTTGGAGATTCTAATTTATAAATCATACGGGAAGTAATTTATAATATTGCTCCATTTATTAATATCTCTAAGAAGTGAAACATCAAACATACCCGAAGAGGAATAATAATTTCGAAGTATTTTTGGAGACTTTAATGCACGGATAGAACGAATTTTCGCAGAAACATTCGAAAGTTCGAGGCGTACCAAGCGTACCAAACTCTTCCTTTTCCTTCGTAATGGCGAACCTCGCGCGATTTGTTTAATCGAAGCTTGATAGATTGCGAAAAATAAATATACAACGAAACGAACATTTAATTAATAATGCAATTTCCATCGACACGTTCTTCCTGGTAGGTCGGCCGTTCGTTCGAACGATTGCCTTTCGGACCGATTAGACCGTAATACTCCCCGTCTGTATTTAATCACAGGTTAGAGTCGACTTAAACGGCACATCAATCACTTTCTCGATTAACCACGAAAAGGGAAGAAATGTCCCATGCTATACCGCGTACTTCACGGAATAAATAACACCTCCCGTTTTATATCTCGTTCGGCTTCCTATTCCGTAGCAGACGCTATTCTCACCCAGATAAAGACGATTTTTTCCCGTCCTCGTTGTCATCGCGCTTTCACCTACGACAAATTTCGCCCGCGCAGCCAGGAAGTCGCCTGATAATCCATTTATCACCGCGGTTGATATTTATTTTTGCAGGTGCTGTCGTCCCCGCCGTTGCGATACATCCGCGATCCCGTGCTAGGAAGCACAGAGACCGCTGTCACGATACCGTACGCCACATCTGGGTAAACCCTGTTATCAATGGGATATCAATGTGCACAGTAGACGACGCGATGCTCCCCCGACGCGTCCTATCCTGTGCTTGCTCGTTGCAACCTTCGCGACTTTCACGCCTCTTCCGCGAAGAGCTAATCGAAGGGAGAATTCAGTGCTTCGCGATGTTAAAGGAAGCGGATAAACGTGTGTTCCGAACGCTTTATTGTCTTTGCTTCACGGTGGAATTATTACTTCAGCGAGTGAAAGCGGCGAGGTAGAAAATGAAGAGAAACGGGAGGATGAAAGCGTGTTGTAAGTCGTGATGAAGTTAGGTTCGCTTACAGGGGGAACATGTTCAAGTGATTATTACCGATTTTGGTGAAACTTTGGTGTATTATGGTTTACGAAAAAATACTTGACAGGTATTTTGTTTTTATCGAAATTGTCAACATCGAAGGGGTGAAAATTGATCTCAAAGTTGGGGGTAGTATGTGAATTTCTTGTAATATCTTGAAAAGTACCGGAGATAGAGGAACTGTATAAATTGACAAATTTTCTATTTTTGAATAACTAATTTGACCGAGTGAGCAAATTTTTAAGCAGTTCCTACGTTAAAAATTATTATTCGAGTGTGTAGATTATATCGTCGGTGATTGGTAAAAGCTACTTTTCCAAGTAGTACTAACTAACGAAAAGTGCTCCGTAACCTTTGATTAGGAGTTATGATTCATCCAGTTATGACACAGAAACCTTTATCTCTAGCTCAGATGAAACGAACTCGAATCGAATGATTCAGCTCTCTAGAACCATCGATGAAGCAGATACCTGATTCATAGTTACTGGCACGCTTCTTAATTATGCAACGACAATCTGTCGATTAATTAACCCTCGACGTGGTAAACCGGCTGGTAATTATCAGCTGGCAAACCGAGACTTTTTTCATTGCCTTTCCCTCGCCCACGCAGCACGATAACACGATTATGCAGCGATCTTTCGCACAATTAAGCGAGACATATCGGGTGTCGTGTAGCTGCACGCGAGCGAATATGTTAACGGTGGTGCATAGCGTACACGTGTTCTGGCAATGCGGTTCAGAATATCACATGTGACACGCGCCACGTGCAACAAACTGATCGCATTCGAAACGTTGCTCGAACACGTTTCCAAAAACACTTACAATACTGTTAGAACACACACTACCGTTCCGCGAATCGTAACACGTATCGAAGCAAATTCAGATTTTCATCGTTCGTTCGACGCAAGATTGATACAGCGAAATATCGAAGAAAGAACGTCGTTTCGAACGCATTAGCCAACGAACGACAACTAAAGTCGTGAAATATACGACAAGTGAAATAAATTACGAGTTAATAGACACATCGACCGGTACATAAATACCACTTAGAACGAACCGTTTCGATTTTTTACCATCAACCGACTATTAACAAAATTTCCACCGCTAATTTATGTCTAACCTTAGAGTTTCTCGAGGTGCGTGAAAAACAACCGCGATCCATAAACGCATCACAGCACAGTTACCAAGATTGTAACGTCACTCTGGTATATTTCACAAATTTTCGTACGTTATAATTGCGCGAACATCCTCCGGTATATTTACGACGAGTGTAATTCATAGAAAACGAAGACCCGACATCAATTACGTTAACAACGTTAACCCTTTGAAATCCAAATTTTCTTCTCAACAACTCCCTATTATTTTCAGAATTTCATTTGAAACGCACATTTGGTTGATAGGAACCAATTTAAACATTTTTTTTTTACTAACTATATTGAAAATAGCATTGAGGGTGGTATATACACTACCGGCGAAAAGTTTGGGATCACTGTGAATCGCAAGTTACATAAAAATTTCCAGCAAAAAGAACGTTTTAACGAATTTTTTTATAATTTAAATTAATCGAAATGGGGCAAATTGCTATTGATCTCTGCAGCATCATTTCAGATCTATAAAAAATTAGCAGTAAATTGATAAGTGATTCCAAATTTTTGGCCGGTAGTGTATGTGCACCTATTGCGCATCTAGGTAAAAAGAATATTGCAAAATATAATACATATTTAACCCTTATGCCAATAACCAGAATTGTCGTCCACTTTATCGTCAAATTTTACTAGGTTTCTGATAAGAAAATTCTAAACTTGAGGCAAACACGGATAGGAAATGTGCGAAATAACAACGATCTGGCCGGATATTTCAATCAATATTTTAAGTGAGAACAATCGGGTACCCGGTTATTGACATAAGGGTTGAACTGGCAATTTGAAAATTACTTCATTCGTACCTGTGAATAAAACTTTGTCACACTCGACAAAGGAGTTCAAAGGGTCAATCCAGGAAATTACACAGCCTGCTGATATAAATATCGCGTTGCCAATAAATTTCCTTTCAAGCTCCGTTTTCCACACTCGTAAAATCCCCGAGCTTGAACGTAACCGCGAGCAAGCCTCCCACTGGAACATCTGGACATCGCGTCCAAGTGGAAACGTATGTTACATTCGCGGTCGGTATTCCGCCGTAAATGTCCTTCTGTCCGCGGTACACCTTGAACCGGCGAGCCGCGTATTCTCGTAGCATAATGTTCGTTAAAATTGCTCGGAAGTCTCGAGGCCGCGGCGCGACAAGCTCGCGAAGGAGTTCGTCATTCTTTCGCGCGTGGGATTAACGATGCAAATTTGCACTACCGCGGAACATAATTGGCCGACATTGTGCGTTCGTTAGCCGAGCATTCTGCCACTTATCGGTGGCGGGACAAACGTGAATGGCTCCGACGTCTAATTGAACCGGCTCCGTTTCCCGCCGCGGTTTTCACGCTACGCGGGAAGCGAGGGAAGAATGGAACGGATCATTTGGATGCCGGAAACGACCGAGTTTCTTCGTTTCTTTCGTTGATTTATGTGAGAAAGCAGGGAGAAACAGTGACACCCACAGAGGGGTGTTAATTGAGGAAAAGCATTGTGACGATCCTTTGAGAAACGAGTGGAAATTTATGTGGGATCAGGAGCAAGTGGAGGTACAACGAAGAGATAGTGATACGGTTTGTTATTGTTACGTTTTTCTTCCTCTTTCCTGCGAAAATGATCGTTGTCTGAGGAAGATGGAGGAAGTGTGTTGCATTCGAGTCTCAGGTCTGGATCTACGTTTGGGAATTTTCTTGTGTGTTGAGTTAAAATTGAGAAAGATGAGTTAATTGGTGTAACAAGAAAATTCTTGAATAAATATATTATTTTTTGAATGTTCGTCCTTGAAAAAGTCCCAAAATTTCATCACTTGTGAATCAAAGCACAGGAAACGTGAAGAATGAATAAATATATTATTTTTTCGAATATTCGTCCTTGAAAAAAATCCTAAAATCCGATAAATTTCATCCCTTGCAAACGAAACCGCAGGAAACGTAAAGGAAAGAAGGGACGACACCCGAGGTACGATTCTAGCGGTCGAAAACGATAAAAAGCTGGTCGTTCGTTCGCCCTTCCAGCTATTTATCCGCTCTCACGGGCATAATTAATATCATTATTGTGATGTCAACGGGAGGAAAACTGTACGAGCACGTCGAGCGTGTGTTACACGAGTTGTATATATGCGGACTAGACAGGCTACCGCGCTGGATATGCTAAATACGATCAAACAACGTTGTTTTATGCTAAGTGACCCCTGTCACGTCGAGAAAGACAATGCCGCTTGTCTGTTCTCCGCGAAATGCATCAGGATGTTTGCTCGAACGGGCAGAAGAAATCCCTTTGCTCGAATCGCAGCCTTTCTCCTTCCTTTCTTCGTTTGCAGCTGCGCGACTTTGTCCGCTTCGTTGAAACGCGTTTCGACGGCGATTTGGCAAAGGGAGAACCGACAAACGATAAAGGCTCAATTGTAAAGAACTTGCGAAATTTCTCTTTTCTGAAAATGACGTATAACGAAGCAAGAATCTCTAGCAATCTCGATGATACATCGCAATTTCTTCGACCCTTTCGCTACAGCACATTTCAGAGAAAAAGTACTTGCTGTATGCTGGATGAAACAGTTGTTATTCAACGCTGGCGCAAAAATAAAGTAAACATACGATTGAAAATGATAGTCAAATGTCTGGTGCTTTCTAGTATTGCCTGACTTTCGAAAGGGTCGAAAGTAAAGATGAGAATAAAGATTTTCTCAATGGTAAAAGAATTCGATACAAATTGGAGCTGCTTTCTACGGAATATAGTGCTCGTTCTGTGGAGGCAGACGAACGAAATTATGGCAGGAGGATTGATCGCCGTGAGGCTTACTTCGTGAAAAGGAAGTGCACCGTTGGAAAGTTGCATCTGCATCGTGACAAAACAATAGACTGTCATTTCTTTCCAAGCTTCAACGAGCATCGTGAGAAAAAAGGCTGACAGCTCGGGAGTATAATGATACGAAGATCCCTGTCGCGTGATAATATATCGATAGGTGTTCCTGGCTAACGAGGTACCTGGATCATGGGTCGAGCGTGCCAATCGATTTGACACGCACTCGAGATCTCGGGGCGCCGAATAATCGCCTCTCATCTTCACCGACGACGCCTTAACGAGACGACAAAGAGGATCGTGCCCGCGGAAATGTTTCAGACCGGTAACCCATTTTCCTGTAACTCGTATTTATCGTACGCTCTTAGTATCCCTTCGAACGTTTCATCCCCCGTGAAGGAACTTTCGGTATAATTTACCGCAATTAAATAAATTAAATAAAAAGCCACCAGGCATATTTGCAGTTCCCCGATACAACTTTGTGACAATAGGGTTGCATATAGCCTCCAATTCTTTTTGTTTGCGTTCATATTCTTCTTTATCAGCAAGCTGATTAGCATCAAGCCATTTGATGATATTATTGGATTTATCCAATACAACCTGTTTACCACTTAGCAAGCTGATTAGCATCAAGCCATTTGATGATATTATTGGATTTATCCAATACAACCTGTTTATCACTAGCACTGATCTTATCTTTCAGTTTCTCATCTTCCACTGTACTCTTCGTGTTAAAGCAGTAAGACTCAAGACCATTCTTAGCAGCAACAGTTTCTTTTTGTTTCTCATCTTCAGTACGATATTTCTCTGCTTCATTGACCATTCATTAGGGTGCTTCTTTAATTTTTTTATCTATTTTGGTCTAGTGACTTTTGAGGTGAAATATGGTTTAAATGTAAATTTAAATAGGAATGTGAGCTTTTTAAAGCTAATTCCTTCACCAATTTCCCCGTCAAAATGTAAAATTATAGACGAGCGTAACTTCTCATATTTAATTAATTGAAAGATATTTGTGGTACCTAGCTGAACTTATTTTGTAGGAACATGTTTTAGTATTCCTACTTGGTATCATTTGAATTAATCATTTCTATTTGAGAACTATTCATCCCCTAAATATGAACATCTGCTAAACAATAAAAATTACTTTTTCTATATTTTCAAATTTTCTTCTTCCATGTAAAACTTAATGAAAATTAGCATGTCTCAATTGGATGCCGTTCTTTGCGTGTATCGAGAGCAATGTGTCGACAAGTAGAGATTATGCAAGTCTGTATATACCAAGGCTTGCTCTTCTCCAAACCACTTGATTAGGGTAGCTTTACTCAAGCACACTCAAGACACCTAATTTCAAATTTTGCAAACAAATGACAAAACAAAACTATAATCTGTTTGTGCATACTCTTTAATTCAATCTATTTCATATCCTTATTTTTATTTCAATCCAAAAAGGAAAAATTGTCACTCCTTAAAATCATACGTAACAATCAACACATTCCCAATCCACAGTAACACAAACAACAAAAAATATCCTCGTTACCCTCTTACAAAGCAATTCGAAGCTAATTAAAAATGACGACCTACTGAATTCCGACTACGTTTAATTCCGCCTGCGGTAACGCTTCAATTACGCATATCCTCCTGTGTAAGAGGAACAGCGAGCACACGATCCTTGAGATTCTAGGTTAACGTAGCTGGCTGTAGAGCGTAATTTACACAACGTATGAAATGTACAGCGCAAACCGCAGTTTCCTGCGTAACCTCGCGAGGAAAAAGACCGGCGACGAGCCGGGTGGCTTGTTTTCTATTAGCGTTGTTCCGCGAAGGAGTTTCTAATCTCCGTAAATTGGACTTGGCCGGTAAGCCGTGGAAAACTCTCACGGAGAAAACACCGGATTCTATTTCCTACTTAGGCCATGCGGAGAGAGATCTCGTCGGATACCATTAGGGTTCGTAATAGAATTCACGCCGGTGAAATTTCGTCGCTCGGATTGAATCGGAAGGGAAAAAGGAGGAGGGGGGACGTCTCGAGGCGAGGTAAGAACAAGAGGAAGGCATTAATTGTGCACCGAGAATTTGTTGCATCGTTAAAGTATCCACCATTGTCACGAACCAGCAATGAATCACACGGCGGTCGTAGCATTGTCAAGTGCAGCTATAGTAATTTATCGCGTTGCTGTTAATCCTGTTCGCGGTGTCTCTTAATGTCTTCGATTTAAGGTACGCGCGGATAAATTGTATAGGGACGTTAATCACGAAATACTCGAAGGTGTCGTGTAAATACTTAATCTTCACTTTTCGGTTATTAATCTGAGGCGAGTCGCTCTTCTTGTGCAACACTTGACTATCTTTCAATGCAGGGAACGCAGAGGTCTCGTTGAATTAGACACATCATCAAAAAATTGATTTAGTCCCTTTTGTAACACTTTACTGCTAACAAAGTGTATCATACTTCGACCTCGCTCATTTTCAACACTCGTCGAAATGACAGATTTCAAATTTCTTACATCGAATTACAGACATTATTAAGGGGTTAGACACCCCTGGGATTTGAAAAAAAAATCGAATTTCTTTTTTTACTTAAATTGATAGGTGTTTTAAATGGGACGACTTTTCACTTAAATCGACAGGTATTTCAAATAGGACGTTTTTTTTCGCTTAAATCCACGGTTTCACGCCAGAAATAAAGAAAAGAAAGGAAAGTTATTTTCCATTGATAATTTTCATTCCGAAATTATACCAGAAGGGAAAAAATATTCTATACTCGACTTGAATTATTCTAGAGTTAAAGAATAAGCGTGTCACCAATTGACCGGTACATCGTCGCAAGTATCTCGACCACTCCTTCCAGATACGATTCCTCTTCAATTTTTTTCTTCTCCTTCTTATTATCTCCTCGCCTGTGCCTTTCGATATCGATTTAAAGAACCGCAGCACGTCGGACTCCTTGTATTTTTAAGCGGTTGCCCGTCTGAATTTCTGACTCGTTCGAACATAAATTCTCGACAGGCAACAGGCGCGAGTTTCTTCGCAGGGTGAATTATGAATTCCACTCTGCTCCAGGACCCCTTTATTCTTCGATCTCCTTTGAAGAATCGCTGAAACTCCATTCGTTCGTATTACAGCCACGCCTTTGCAAAGAAGGTTGTTAAATACATTTTTCTCGTTTTTTTCAATCGGTGCGACCTCGTGCCAGGCACATTCCATTTAGATTCGAGGATCATCCGGTTCGCAAAAACTCTTCGTTTTGCTTCGTTTCTACATTTACGAGAATTCTACGTCTATACTTGCTTTCAGTGAAAAAAAAAAAAAAAAGAAACGTTAAATTGACGAATAATGAACCACATCCTTCGGTATCTTGTTACTGGAAATTCACTGTAACTTTGCATGGAAAGCTTCAATTTTTACGTGGCATTTTTAATAATCAGATAAGAGCTTAAAATTCGCATTTCTATAACGGAGACTCAAAGTATCGTCGTTTTTAAAGCAATCAGCAAAAACAAACGAGATAACGTTTAGCTGTATATTGGTAAACTAGACGAACTTTAGGTTTCGTGAATGTCAGGTAAAAACATTTATAAGTAATACGGTTTAATGAAATTTTTTCAACTAGTTCTTTTCGTATTACAAGATCATTTCTCGAAGTTACGAGTATGGTAATCTTATCTCGAGAGCATAATAACACTATCTCTTACATCACAGATAAAAGGCGTCACAATCGAATTGGTGGCGCTTGTTTCTTTGGTAACAGCTTCGACAGTCGGAAGCATCGGTGATTTACGCTTAATGTAACTGACGGTTCGTAAGCGGAACACATCGGTAAACGAAGGAAGTGAATGTAACAGCCAGATCTACATCCAGATTATTATTAGACTAATGTTTATCGCGTTCCATCTACCGTTCCCCATTTAGATCCTCTCTGAAACGCATGTGTTGCATATTGACGAAATATTGGCTCTTCCGTGTTGATACGCGCAAAGTGTTGTTCCTAGAATCTGTCTGTCTTTAAATGAAAATATATATCTGCACCGTGTGCGTGGGCGAAATTCGGAGATTAAGTGAAGAAATTGGAAAATGGACTAATGAATCATTGACGAATAATAAGTGAGGTCGTCAGAAAATTTTATGAGGTTTTTGTTCAAATGAAGTTGTATTCGTCGCTAATGTGTAACCTAGACGTCGATATAACACTAAAACTTTATGAATAAATTATATTCAACACATATTAAAAACTTAATATTCATAAATGTTGAAATGTACGACTAATTTCCCTTTTCTTTTCACCAGAGATATTTTAGCAAAATAAAGGTAACTGATAGTTTTGAAAAAATGAAGAAATGTAAAATTTTGAGAGGAAAAATGTTGCAATGTGTAACTAATTTCCCTTTTTCCTTTTCATTAGAGATACATATTTCAGCATAATGGAGGCAATTGATAGTTACGAAAAAAGGGAAGAAATTGTAAATTTTCAGGTGAAGAATTAAAATTCTGCAATTGCATTAATCGAAAGATAGATAGAATCGAATCGAGTGGCATTTTACGCATTCGAAGTCAGGAGAGTTTACTTCCTCTTATTTGGATATCTAGTGTCTACTTAGAGGGGTTCTGGCTGGAACTAAATATTTGAAGAGGCACGTTCCGAGGGTGAGGCATCTATTTCTATACGTATAATACACGGAACCGGACGTTCGCTCTTCCCTTAACAGATTTCTAAAAGTTCCTTTCGATTTTCGAACTGTTACATCGTTTATCCCCCTGCTATTTTAAGGAACTTCTCGAAAAAACAGCCTTTGACAATTTAAATCCCCAGACCTAATCTTGAAACTGAAATTTTTAATCTTTACAGATACAAATTTAATAATAACTTCTAAATACAGTCAAATGCTACTAATATTAACACACGTACACAAGTACGTTACCAGAGATGTGTAAAATTCTTAAACCCTTCCTAAGCGGTATGCAAATTACCGAAATTCACCTGACAAACTCCGAAACAAGTTCTGCTCGTACATTGCCTAGTGTATCTATTACTGATCGATGATCAAGCAAAGTATTATATAATAGAGTTGTGATTCTTCGTTCACAATAACGTCATCGTTCATTGTGCAACGCATCTACAATGGCTACAGTGTCAGTTAAGATAAAGTAGGAAGCAATTGTTTCTCATGTCTCCAGTACGAAAACCTCTACGTTATTTTTCCAATTTTCATTCTTTCCATGTACGACATTTTTTCCCAAAGTACACGTTACCTAAGCAAAGTATGAAAACTATCGTTTTCAAATCGTCACACTTCAAACATTGCCTAGACAGTTTGTCGGTAATACACGCGCTAAACGCAGTCTACAAGTAAAGCGATACGAAAATTTATAATCAATAGTTCTATCTTGTAGAAACGAACGAAGATAAGGGACACTCGATATCTTTGCTCCGTATTAAGGCGACATTTTTTCGCGATAGTCCACGTTATCATATCCGAGACAAATGCTGTTTTACGCACTCAGCCGTGTATGCAATTAAGTGTACACAGAATGTAGGGAACAAGGCTCGAGTTCCTCACGTCCAGGAAAAGGACCCCTATATATTTAGTCCATTGGACGTTTTACAGCTTCGCAGTATATTGTATTTACGAGCTGGTAACACGTGAAGCTGTTCGTTTTGTCGTTATTATAACGATCCTGGTGGCGTTGAAGGATCCAATCCACTCTCGAATCGAATCATTTCGAGGACCAACCCTCGAAAACTGACCTCCATGACCAACCCCACGTGCGACAGCCACAATGAGCTCTTTGTCAGACCTTCCATACACGCGCGTCGACTTCCTGACC